TTAATATGTAAATTTCTTCCATAAGCTTAATATTTGGAGTGCAAGAATTTCAAAAATGGTACCCAAAGTTTAGAGTCCTCAATATTATATAAAAGACCACTGGATTCTTGTACCTGTTTAAAAAATAGTGTTCAATCTATGTCAGGCACAGTGTAGATCTATTCTAAAACCTATTTAATACCTGAGTTAGACTGCTATAGTCTTCCATTATCTAATAACATCTCTGTATACAGATAGTTCTTTTAACTAACAATAAGTGGGATTGTTAAACAATGCGATCATATAGCACAATCTCCATGCCAATTTACAACAGCAATTCTGGCAGTTCCAATTGTTAGGCTAATCCCTCATGGTTGCAATGGCCCATGGTCATGGTCGCCCTTTGTAACCTCCTGCCAACTTCCCCATTGACATTGCTTGTCTGAAGCTGACAGTGAAGGTTGCAAAAGGTGAACATAAGACCATAGTACATTGCAATGTCATAACTGCAAGTTGATTTCCAAGTGCCCAAATCAAAATCACTTGATCACAGAGACTATGAGGACTAGTTATATGTCCCCCTCAGCACTATCGTAACTTTGAATGGTTGCTGAACAAGTAGCTATTAAATGAGAACTACCTGCAAGTTAAAAAATTTACTTTACTCAAAAAAAAAATCACAGTGAAAGAAATCCTAGCTCTGCTCTTTAAACCTAGTGTGTTAGTAACTAGCTGCTAATTGGTTGGTTCAACTTTGATGATGTAGTTCATAGTTTGATGATTTAGTTCTATTTGGGTAGAGTGAATAATTCAAACGAATCACTGTAATCAAATACATTCTTTGGAGAAGGATGGAAATGAGAAGTCACTTTTTCTATGGAGATTCTCAGTCATCCAAATCATGGTTGTCCCAAATATGCTTTTTCCAAAAGGCTTCCCCCTTAAACACCTTTCACATCTCATCCAAGAAGCTTCTTTAGTTCTGAAATGAAGAAGAACTGAAGAAACTTCTGGGATGAGAAGCAAAATGCCTTCAACGAAAAAGTCCAGTTGCCTTTTGGGAAAAAGCATCCTTGGGAGAAGTCAATTTGTTGAACAAAATCTGACCATGTTTAATCCAGGAACACTCCTGGAAGACTATAGTTTCCTTTTACGAAAAAAAAATAACCATTGTATAAAATTATTGTTCTACTGTTTTTGTCAATAAAAATGGGCATATAATTTCAAACTATTTTAAAGAAATAACCTTTACTATTAGGTTTTTTTTGCAAACATGAGTATTTAAGGCTACCATATTGGGTTGCAAAATTTAGTTCATTAGATGGCAGCAAAGATTCAGATTTTTGTAACCTACAAATGGTAATCCAAGATTATTAATAAATTCAGATAATTGCTTCAAGTGAAGCATATAATCATATACTGAAAACTTTCCAAGTGCAAATTTCCTTTCTCATTAGCCAAAGCTATTTTCATTTTTCGTTCTCTGAGACTCGATAATAATCTGAGACAACTGAGAAGACTCGGCTTCATATTTAATAAACGAAATATGTGATTCAAGATTTATCATGAGAGCAGAAACCCCACTTTCCTGTCTGGATAACAACCTTTTACATGTGTTGAGATTGATGGCTGGGTATGGTAGCAGTAAGCAAAACAGGAAGTAAAAGGTGAAGATATATTTCCTGGGTTAAGGCGATCATATTAGGGTGACCAGGTGCAGAAGAATTTAATGCTCATGCACTTTTACTACTTCTGCTGACATTCCTCTTTTAGGCAATTATTAAAGCAATAGAATTTCTACCCTCTTGTGCACTTGGCCAGCAATTTAGAGCCACTGTTTTGTTTTCACCTGATAGTACTGCAGGTAATCTTCAATTTACAACAACAGTTCATTTAGTGACNATTTTGTTTTGTTTGCAGAGTGGAGGTGTTTGATGGAGGATGGGGAAATAAAGAGCACCAAGAACTCCACTCTATTTTTTACACAAACACTTAAATTATTGCTTTTGAAGCCTTTGTAAACAACTATCTTTTGCAAGCTACTAAATGTAGAATTGGCTAGTGCAGAAGTAAAAACTATTGTCTTTTTAAAAAAAATGGTGTTAGCAGAAATACATCGGGAATAGGTAGATGGTAGAAAACAGTAGCTATAGGAAAAGAGAGGTTTAATCATTCTTATACTAACCAACACTGCATACAACTATTTAGAGCAAAGGCAGTGTTTGATGTAAGCAATACTCGCTTAAATTAATTCCTTGCCTACACATTGCAGGGAAGATGCTGAATTAAATTAAACTTTACAACTGTTTATTTTGTTCTCATTGAAAATTAGTGAGGGTCTTGTGGGAATTTTTTTTTAAGTGCCTGCATCAGCAGCTGGAAGTGATCCCTGGTTATGAAGAACTGTTGGCTGATATTGTCAACATCTGTGTGGATTACTATGAAAACAAGATGTATTTGACACCCAGTGAGAAGCATATGCTCTTGAAGGTAACTTCTTTCCATTCTCCACAAATGTATTTTAGCCATCTTTCAGTTTTTCCCCAAGTACTTTGTGATGTCTGTTTTCATGGTGCATATCTTGGGGTGGGGTTGTTGTTAGGTTTTGGGTTTTTTTGCATTTTTCTCTTTTTAGATTGTATACAGGTTTAATTTTTAACTTCTCTATGAAAAGATGACTTCTGGTTTATTAAAAGAAAGATTTAAAACTATTTAAAAACATACATTCAAAAAATCCTGCAAGTCTTTTTCAAAGTCAGTTTGAAAATCCTTTATTTATCTAAGGGATGGAACGCCTGTGGGTCATAGAAAGGCCCCAATTGTGTGTGTGTGTCTGTGTGTGTGTGAGCGCGCAGGCTTTCTAAAAAGTGTTGCAGTGCAAATGGAAGATGTACAAGAAAGCCAAGGTAAAATATTTTTACATTCAGAAAACAGCTGCCAGTCATAGTGGACAATATCGAGTCAACTGGACAAATACTTCAAAGCAATTTAAGGAAGCTTCCTATAATTTCAGAAATCAAAAGTATGTTATGGTTAGTCACAGAGTAAATGTCATCTGAGATATTATGAGAGAGATGTGGTTTTTTTAATTGAAAATTTGTGCATAGAATATGCTCTTTTCCTTCTTTCAAACATTAACTATTAAATGGCTATGATAAACATTCAGATGTTGCTGGTATTTTTCTTTTAGGTGATGGGTTTTGGTCTGTACCTGATGGATGGAAATGTCAGTAATATTTACAAATTAGATGCTAAGAAGAGAATCAACCTCAGCAAAATTGATAAATTCTTCAAGGTCAGTGTATGGCTTGAATCTGGTTCATGATTATTTCCAGAGGAACCTGAGATTACCTGTATTGATACAGTCTAGGGATAAAGCGCAAACAGGAGGGTTTGACATGCTGGAACCTAGGGTGCGATTCAATCGCAAACATCTGATTATTTGCACAATGGAAAATAAACAATTAGGGGGTTTTATTCTATCTGTTTTAACAGTCTGCTAATATTTCTGGAAAAAAATGTCCTGATTAAAATCAGATTCATGCAAATTAATTCCATATCTACCACATTTCACCTCTGCAAAATAAACTCTAACAATCATCAGCAGGGCATGCATCATAGACAGGAATTCTTCTGTTTACCTTGCCTTCTTTGGGGAAAACCTTGTTCCTGCAATGGACATAGCTACATATATTAGGACAATAGGTTGATCATCCTTTAGATAGTGGTGAATTCCTTAATAGAATGTGAGTTACTGTGCACAAACTTTTCCATTCAGATACTTTTGTTTTTAATTTTCATTTTTTAAAAATGAAATAAGTGTGAAAAAACGAAAGAGAATGAACAAAATTATAAGAGGGGGCAGGACTAAAGCAAAAAACAAAAACATACAGGGCATCCATATTTATGGAGACACATACATCAATAAATAGAAGCTGTGGCTTCTTTTCAGGTACTTTCTGAGTAAAATGAGGTGTGGATAAAGGAAAGAATAAAAAAGCATTCTTACGGAATTCACTGTAATGGCTGAACTGTAAAACACATAATTTGGTTTGTTTTTTTCTTCTGATATATCCTCTCTCCCCCCCCCCCTCCGTTCCTCTATTTTTTTTTGGGGGGGGGGATCAGTTGTGCACTATTCTCAGGCTGGCACTAAACTTTTAAAAACATGGTAATGCTGACTTTGGCTGATCTCTGAAAGTTAAGAAGGGTTGGACCTGCTGGGAGGTCATGTGGAAGCTATCCAAAAATGCTAAGGCTATAGAAGAGTCTAGATTGAGGACTTTTTATTTAAAAAATGGTATTCCAGAAGAATATAGCTCCGAACAGATGCCCAAGGAGATCACCAGTGAGGCCATCAGAAGTTAAACTCAACAGTAATCCAACAGTCATTGAACCAGGTTTTGGTGCTTTTGGCAGTGTCGGCAGCTGAAAAATGAAGTCAGCATCCCCATAAATCTCATCTGTGGAAGGAAGCATGAAGTGCTCCAAAATATCCTGGTAGACGGCTGCATTGACCCTGGCCTTAATGAAGCACAGTGGTCCAAAGTCCTCTTTTCTGATGAGAGCAACTTT